TCAAAGTTTTTAAAGTTTTTTAGGACTCAAAAGAGTTATCTTCATTTGTGCAAAAAGAGCATGGTGGAAGTTCATTTTGATTGGTTGAGGTGAAGTTCCTTTTTTTATATTGTCAATTGTAATTTTTAAAGTACTTTTAATAAGTAAAGATAGTCACAACATATAAAATTTTTTTCCATAATATGTAAATATTACAATGATTTAATATATTATTTTTTACCTTTAAGTCTATTGTTTTTTAACAACTGATGCAATAGGATACAAATGATTGAAAAACTAAATGAGAGGTGAAGGTTTTGAAAGATCAGAAAGTGGTTTGGTGACCTAAACAATTAGTAAGTGAAAGTTGCAAGATTTTGCAGTTCTATTTTGTTTTCTATAAAAAGTACTACATATTTGAAACTAATATTCTAACTCTACTTTTTTATTATATTTAGGTTATGAGTGGTTTATAAATACACGTTTTATAGTAGCAGTGTTTAGAAATGTTCATGTATGTCGCAAAACTTAAGAGTATTTGTTGTAAAATAAATAGTATACTTATTGTGAATTAAATAATATTGTATACATTGTAAAATATGAATAATTATGAATTAATGTTTTTATGACCATAATACATGCCTTTAGAAAGTATTGACTAATCTTCTGAAAAGCTTTGTAAGTAATAAAATTTTATCCAGGGCATAGCCGATACTTTATCCGGAGATGATCTGCATTTTTTCTGGGTATTTTAACAACCAATCAAAATAAACTTCTACTATGCTCATGAAAAGACATTGCCTTTTATAGCTTTTTACATTGCTACGGCTCAAGCAACTAAGCTACAAAGTTGACTAGTTCTAACAAGTTTCTTGGGTCCGGAAGGTCAGGAAGGTCTCGAAAATCTGATAAATCTGATTTATCAGATTTTCTTAACCTTTGAACCCGCCTAAACAGGTATAAATTTCTGTTTATTGCTATCTTGGGTAACTAGTCTAGTTTCTAATTATGTTGAGTTTACATATATAGAACCATATAAATAGAAATAAAAATAGAAATAAAAGATAAAATACGGGAGCCTCTCACAACAGTCAAAAGTTCCAAATTACGTTTTTGATATGATCTTAATAATGTAATGTTTATACAGATGCATTAAAACCAGTGTTCTCAAATGATTTGAGATAGTCATTTATCAGTCATTTAGAAAAAATGACCCGAATTTAGTCATTTGAAATATGAAAATTAAAAAACTTTGGTCTATGCTCCGACTATTAATAGCATTCTTTTGTCAATTATTATTACTTATTGTGTTTTAAGTTTAAAAAATTTTTATTAATCCAAACTTGTAATTGTTTAAAAAAAGTCATTAAAATTATATTGCAAATAAGAACGACTTTTTTTTCAACTTTTATTTCATTGTTTATTTATTATTTTAGGATTTCCAATCTTAGTAGCTTTAAATGTCTTGTATTTATCCTTTTTAATTCTTATTTATTTCGATAACAATGTACAATGTTATATGCGTTATACAATATTTACAAATAGCAGCAATTTTTTTAGATAAGTGAAAATAAGGACGATAGTTATGGGGTGATTTTCCCATTATTTACAAGTACACGTTATAAAATTTACACATTATAAAAGTTCAAATATAATTATGATATTTAAATTTATAATACTAATTAAAGGTCAAAAATGAACAAATGACGTAAGTCATTTTAGATCATTTATAGTCATTTGATTTTAGTCATTTGCTTAATTTGAAATAATGTGACTAAATGACTTATGAGAATTTAGTCATTTAAGTCACTTAATTTCAAAAATCAAATGACCTAGTCATTTGAGAACACTGATTAAACAGTAATTATTTTGGTTGAGAAGCATCAAAAATATAATAAATATAATATTGTATCACATTGTATAAACACTAATAATCATCCGGATCAAATGGTTAAAAGTTCAGTTTTTGTTGCACCAAATATAAGCTAAATATAGGATCCGCTTTACTTCACCGACAATCATTTCACCGACAGCTCACTTAGCCGACATCACACCGAGTGCCAATTTACTAAAAATATATACATGCAACTAATAAAACTCTAATCCTAACTCTATGTGATGTCGGCTAAGTGAACCTTCGGTGAAATAATTGTCGGTGAAGTGAGCAGCACAGTAAATATAAGCACACAGAAGAACAATTTTTAAATTTACTCATTCGATATGACAACATAAGATAGCAAATAAACTTAAAAACATAGCTATTGACAGTGTTGGCATTGGAAATTTGGACATAGTCCAAATGTATATGTCCAATTGAAAAATGAATATGTTCATATTTTGTCCATATTATTTTAATTAGTCCAAATGCCAACACTGGCTATTGATGTAACTTTTGTATTACTTTGACTAAATATTAAGTACCGTAAAAGTTCATATACAAGATCCGGGTCTATTTCATTTCACCAAATTTTAAACCCTTTAGTAGACCCGGGTCTAGTACTCACCCAGAGGTTATATCATGAAAAGAAAAGATTTAAAGTTCATACACACTTCATATTTATAATAGACATTCTAACTATTTGAAAAAAACAGCATTTAATTCACAAAGATTTTGTGGTTCGCATCCAGATCTAATTTATGGTGGGTCTACTATTTTAGGGGATCTTGTATATGAGCTTTTACGGTATTCTCCACTATGCTCCAGATAATTAAACTATATTTTATTTGGTATATGAGTCTTTTTTACTTTAAAAAAGAAGATTCCAAACAAATTCGTCAACTTGGTTATAATTATGAATACGGTATTGGTGTTAATAAAGATGAAAAGAAGGCTTTTGTGTATTATATAATAGCAGCTGAGTTAGGAAATCCAACTGCGATGAACGATGTTGGAAATTGTCATTATTTTGGAATTGGAGTAGAAAAAAATTGGCAGAAAGCATTTCAATATTGTCAAAGATCAGCTGATATGGATTGTGATATAGGAATATGTACTACCGGCTATTGTTATTCTCATGGAATCGGAGTTGATCAGGATTTTAATAAAGCATTTGAATGCTATAAAAAATCTGCTAACATGGGTAATAAAGGAGCAATGCGTTGTCTTGCTCGATATTATCGAAATAGTGTTGGTACAAACAAAGATATCAAAAGTGCGAATTATTGGATTAAAAAGTATAAAAGAAGTCTTTTGAAAACTGATAAATCACCAGATAATGTTAGTTCTGAACTTAGGAGAATATTAGATGATGAAAGATATAAATTGTCTTGGATTGATTATAATGAATTCAGAAATATCGAAGAAGAGGGAAAAGGAGGATTCGCAACTGTGTATTTCGCATGTTGGTTTGATAGAGTTAATATTGTGTGGAGATATGTTGCACTTAAAGTGATTCGTAATTCAAATGAAAATGAGCAAGAATTTATTCAGGAATTAAAAAATTACGGTGAAATTGGTTACAATAACCCTTTATTCTTGGAATGTCATGGAGTTTCAAGAAATAATTATGGTGATTATATAATTGTTTTAGAATTTGCAACAGAAGGCTCATTGCGACAAAATCTTGTACAAGTATCACAATTGGAATGGAAAGATAAGTTGAATATCTTGCATTGTATAGCTTTAGATCTTGAGTCAATTCATTTGCAAGAACTTGTTCATAGAGACTTACACAGTGGAAACATTTTGCAATATCATGCTTTGCATAATGCATATATAACAGATCTTGGACTTTCTAGAAAAGTAAGAGAAGGAAAAATTTGTGGAGTTTTGCCATATATAGCACCTGAGATTTTGATTGGTCACCCGTACACTCAAGCGTCGGATATTTATAGTCTTGGAGTTATCATGACAGAAATTTCGACCGGACAAAGAGCATTTAATGGAATTCCATTTGATGATTATCTTGCATCAAGAATAGTCGGTGGATCAAGACCTAAATGTTTAGGACCTTATTGCTATACTGAATTAGCTATGAGGTGTATGGATGAAGATCTTGATAAACGACCTACTGCAACTGAAATTATTGATATAGTTATTCATTGGTTAGATGAAATGAATAAAGAAAATAATAATGAAATCAAGAACCAATTTTTGGAAGTTAATAAAATTAAATCAGAGCTGATTAAACAAATACATTCACAAGAAATGCATACTAGCAGGTTATATTATACGAAAAAAACTTCTGATTATTTTAGTAGACAGATCAGTACAACAGGAATTTCGAGCACCTTTTATTTCTGTTTTTATTAACTCATTAAATGTCTTTATCGATTTTCAAATGTCAATGAAATCATTCTTTATGTAATCACACAGTATGGCAGAGTACCAATATTTTTTTTATAAAGAATTATCGAATAGGCTACTTCTTAAGATTAATAGTTTGAGGGTGTGATTTACAGTTAGGGTGAGGGGCACAGGGTTCTTGGGCATGCCCTCCTTGTGCATGCATCTGGGCATGTCTTTAAGCTAAAGGGCATGCCTTTAAGCTAAAAGGCATGCCCTTTTATTTGGTATTTAAAAAACACTTATTAAGTGAAGATGCCTTTTATTGATTAATATTATAATATTAAAAATAATATTGATATATATATATATTTATAGGGGTATACCGGGTATGAAGAGGCATGCCTTTAGTTCAAGGCATAACCAAAAAATTTCCTGTCCCCCTCACCAGGGCTGGGCAAGCTATATACCCAGTGCTTTTTCACCGGATACTGAACATTTCCAATTTGTCCGTTGTAATGTCCAGTACATGTCCAGTGTCCAGTGAGACATTTTATAAAAAAAGAAATTTGATTAATTTACCCTAGGGTATAAACCCGGATCTATAATGTAGTACAAGCATTTTGATTATTATGCAGTTAATCAAAATAAAAATCATCGTTTATTAACATCTTTATTTCTCTCTTTCGTTCTTGCTTTTTTATGCACGTTTGATAAGAATTTTGTGCCCAATAAACTAGTGTCAATATGAACAAGCCCCGTCATGTAAACTTTTCTTTTGATATCAATACTCAATATGCAAGCGTTTCGACCTCTGGTCTCACGTGACTATTTTCTTGTTGTTTCGTTTTTTCCACTTTATTTAGCTATATGTAGTTTAATTGAGACTTTTTTCCGCAACTTTATAGTTATATGAACCTAATACAAATGAGCCCGATCAAGAAGAAACACACATATCAATCCCAAATGCCTCTATTTCATTAGAGGTTCGCATAGAGTCTAGTATTGTCATATCCATGTCTTCATTTCATCAATATGACTTTTTTTTTTATGGCATTTCAGAAGCTTTATGAATCCAATATGGAAGAATTTGACCAAGAAAATGTTTACACTTCAATTCCATACACTTCTACTTCATCGGAGGATCATGTGGTTGTTCTAATTTCATTTTATTTGCATTTCTTTCTCTCTTTAAATATTATCTAATTCAGCCTTTTTTTTGTATCTCAATAGATTTATGAATCTAATGTAGATGAATTTGACCAAGAAAATGCTTACGCTTCAATTTTATATGCTTCTACTTTATCAGGGGATCACATCGGGAGAATTAAATAAGTGCAAATCTGCAAAAACCTGCAAAAATGCAGATTTTTGCAGAATTTTTTACAAAAAAACTGCAAAATTTCCAATATTTTGAAATTTTGCACAGACCTGTATTTAATTTCTATAGCTATAGCTGGTGAGTCTGAAGTTTTGCACAGATTCTCATTTAATATATTATTTAATTTTTTTGCAAATCTGCACAGAACAGCACTAAAAAAATTTTTCGAATGCACGTGGTGAATCTGATTTTATTTTACTATATTTCTATCTCTTTGAATGTTGTCTAATTAAAGCTACTTTTCTTTTCTCCTTTTTATGGTATTTTAATAGTTTGATAGACTTAATACAAATGAATTCGATCAAGATAATACAATTCTATATGATTCTATTTCATTGGATGTCCAAGTGATTATTCTTTTATTAGTTCATTCTATTCACATTTTGTTTCTTTGCATGTGGTCTAATCAGGCTTCTTTTTTTTCTTGTAGTATCTCAACAGCTTCATGAATCTAATGTGAATGAATTTGACTACAAAAATACTTACACTTCAATTCTATATGTTTCTATTTCATTAGAGAATCATGTAGTTGTTTTAGTTTTATTTATTTATATTTTGATCTTAAATATTATCTAATCTTTCTTTCTTTTTTTTCTTTTTTTATAGCAATTAATAGTTTTATGAACCCAATATAGATGACTTCAACCAAGATAATTCTTATACTTCAATCCCATATACGTCTACTTCAGCAAATGTTTATGTAATTGTCCTTATAGTTTCATTTTATCCTTATTTTTGTCTTTTTGTATGTTGTCTAATCAGTTTTTTTTGTTTTTTTGTAATGCCTCAGTAGCTTTGTGAATTTAATATAGTTGAATTTAACAAGAAAAATGCTTATGCTTTATATACTTTTATTTTATCAAAGATTCATTTTATTGATCTAGTTTCATTCTATCATGCTTGTAAATATCTCTAATTAAAGGTTTTTGTATATCTTAATAGCCTAATAAATCTTATATAAATAAATATAACTATAAAAACATTCAAAATGTTTCGATTTTAAATGTTCCAACTTTATTAGAGGTTCAGATGATTTTAGTTGTTTTGTTTTATTTGCATTTTTATTTTCTATATATTATTATCTAATCAAAAACTTTTTTGTAGTATATTAATAGCTTCATAATAATAATTCAAATGATAGTGAATTAAATGAATCAAATGAGTATCATCAGTTAGTCATCTATAAAAAATCTATCATAATAAATTCTTTATAGATGGCTAACTGTGGTACTCAAATAACTTAACAGATTCTTTGAAATTAATTGCTAGACTTGTTTTTATATATGGAAAGAATTTAAGGCTTGGATATATGATTTTGAATTAGAAAAAAGATTTAATTATAAAGTTAGATCGAGTAAAATAATTGAAAGAGTAATGCAAAGGGCCATATATGAATATGCCAAATCTGGTTTAAATATTTTACAAGTTACATTAGATCTAACCAAATGTCACAATACTTGTTCTCAATGAATCAAGTGCCTCTAAAGAATCAATGTCACTTGTCCAAAACAACTAATATAATAAAAATCAACACAGTTAATAATAAACACAATCACCTATTTACTCTAATAATATGTAATATAGTTTCACAATTTTGAAAGCTAATACCAAATATATTAGCAGATATAGAAAAGTATGTTGTTCAAGAGTGAATAGACTCTGGATTCATATATTTATTGCTTAAACATGACTACTTGAATCAATCTAGTCATAAATAGAACTTGTATAATGCAGTTTATCAAGCTCATCAGACAAGTAATCCAGGAGATACAGATGCTTCAAAAATATTACAGTTATTACTAGAATGGAAAGATTTGGATCCATTTGGGTAGTAAAAATTTAATTAGAGCCAGTTTTAAGAAAATTAGTATTACTTTTTTGGATGTCTTCTGTACAAAGAGAACTATATAGAAAATATAATAATATTGTAATTATAGATACTACTTATAATACTAATCAGTTTTGGATAATACTTTATGTTGTAGCTATAATTGATAACAATTATAGAAGTAGAAAAGTAGCATGTACTCTTGAAATACTGGATATATAGCAGTAGATTTTGGTATTATTCTTATAAAAATAGATATTTTATCTGCGGTTATATTTACAGACTCGGATTTTTCTATAATATATTTTATCAAGGATATTTATTCTGATACTCTATTTATTATATACTTTTTATATTAATTTAAATATTTAAAAGAATCTTAAAGGAAAATTGGATAGTCAGTTTGAAGAATTTCATTACAAATTTTATATATATTAAAATTTATTATGTAAATGCTAATTTGAACTTTGATGTAATTAATTACTTAATCAATGTTCTGTGGCAACAAAATATTTATCTAATACAATTTATGTCTGTAAAAAATCATAAGCAATATCTTGGGTGCATAAATGTTTTATAGCTAGCATACAGAGTATACAAAAGATCAAATTGATTAATAGACATATACATAATAAAGATAATCGTTTTTCATTGCTATATAACTTATTAATTAGTATAACAAGCATCTTGAAAGATTTGATATAGAGCAAAATAGTCTTCCAATAATTGGAATACCATATTAAATTTGAGATTATTTGGCAAAATTGATACTATTATTAAAGATTTTTTAATATCTGTAATTCTTGAAAAATAAAAATTATAGATGAACTAGTCTGTATACTATAATGTTATTAGAGTTATTGAATAGCAACAATTAATCAATATGGAAGCAGATAATACAAAGATAAGTGGAGCTAGAGAACAAGAACAAGATTCATGGCAAATTCTTTTTAGATAAATATATATCATGATTCAATTCTTGAAGTCTGAAATATATATACTACTAGAACCCAAGGAATAGGCTATTATGTAGTATAACTTAATAAGAGTATATATTTATACACTTGTTTTTTATTAATTAATAAAGAATTAATATGCTGATATTTTTTCTATATTGGTATATATCCTCAGCATGCCACTTTTCAAATAAGTTAATTTCTAATCAATGGTATTTGAATCCTAATATCTTACTGAATAACTTATTACAACAATATCTTTTTATTGCAGTATGTAGTACCCTACAGTTAGAATGTGATATATCATTCCAGAAAAGCATTAATTTCCAGCACTTTTTTTTAGTTCAAGTCAATTTATCTGGTCCTTCTCAACCACTTGCAAAGTCAAACAAAGCTGTGTATGCAGAGTTATTTGGCTTATTAAAGAAAGTTATTAATTGCCAATTTGCAAAGTGAATTGTGGAACCTGTGGGTTTAGAGCATAGTGGTTAGCACTTCCAGATCACAGTCACAAGGTCATAAGTTTAAATTCAACTGGGAACAAGTCTCTGCTAGGACCATGACTAAAAAAGATCTTTAGAAGATTTTCTGCTTAAGAAAAACAAGATTCATATGTAATATTGCAGTTTATCAGCATAGCCACGAGTTGAAGATAACCAGATAAGGTAAATCCATCAACAAATAATATAAATATTAAGTAATCCTGCTTATACGTAAAAAAGTTGTGATCTGGCCTGTGGGTCATGTAAAATTAGAGAACTACAGACCTAGAAAATGTAGGTTTTACACTGTGGGACCAGAAACCCGAGATGTTATATAACAGACTTAATGGGGCATGAGTTACCTCAGAGATACAGTGACATTTCAGAGACCATATGCCTGCTATTGAACTCTGCTAAAATGATAACTCTGGTCTTAGAAAAAGTGAGAGAGATTCTAAAATATCTAGAACCTTTAGAATAGTGGAAAGAAATTAAAATCAAAAAAAAAAAAAAGTGAATTGCTAACTATATTAAAAACTTTTTTTATGATGCTCAAAAAAAATAAACTATTAAAAAATAGAAAATCACTTGGTTATTAATATAAACAATCAAAAAATAGGAAATTACTTGGTTATTAATAATCTAGCTATTGTTAAACATAGAAGAAGACCTCTAAAAAAAATTAAGTCAAATATTAAAATAAATAATAATAAAGAGAAGCAGGTCTTAAAAGACTATATAAATGTCAAAAATAATACTACAAGAAATATAGTAAATAATACAAATAGATAAAAATTTGATAATATCAAAACATAATTTGCTTAATTATATTACAGATCTCATAGGTCTCTGATTGTTGTTAGTATTAAAGATATGTTTTGTTATATTATTCTAACTAATATGATATATACTAAATTTAACTATAAAAAGTGACTACAAATAGATTTTACAGCTTCTAACTATAAAGCTTATACAGTAAACCTTTATAAATATACTCTCTATAAATGCATACTCAATATCTGGCCCAAATATATGCATGACTCTATACAGTAAATATACTTTTTTTATTATTCTCTAAATATATATTGTTAAAGTTTAGTCCCAAGAGTGTGTATTTATAAAGGTTTCACTATACTAATAAGTTATTAAAATACTTTAAATTTATCTAATTCTGGCTTTTTTCAAATTTTCTAATACTAATATTAAATTTAAAATTGTGTTTTCTATTTCTGGTTTTGCACAATGATATTGCATAGCTATCTTATTAATATATAAACTTCAAAAAATAGAACAAGTATAAAGTGGCTATTTATATTGTACCTATATATTTACAAACTCACTAACTCAAAAAAAATTATGCAAATTATTGATCCAACTAAATTGAAAAGAGCTTAGCTTTGCTAAAAACAGGCTTCGTCTTTTGTCAAAAGAATTGGGGTTTTGTCTTTCATTATTATATGAAAAAGGTTTTATCTAACAAATATAAATATAACATTAATTAATAATAATATATAACTAGCAATACTACTGTGCAGATAACTTCATCCTTGCTTGTAGTTTTGAATCAACATATAATATACTTAATTAATTATAGTTATATATTCAAATTAAATTATTAGTTTATTGGTTAGCAATTTGTATTAATAAATTTATTAACAAAATTTATTTTAATTGCTCTTTTTAATATAAATAGACTATTAAAAATTAAACTGCATGGTTAAAGTTAAATTGATTAAATGTATAAAAACTTTACTTACAGGCTTTTATTGGAGTTACTCAATTTCTGAATTCATATTTGAACTAATTTCATTTTTACTAGTTGTCATGGTGTTTGTTAATACTCTATATACTTATAAAGCCAGAGTTGAATAGCAGTACTCATATAACCAGTGTTTGAAATTTTAGATCCAAATACTGTTCTTATGAGAATAGTACAATAGATATAGGTGTTCTCAAGGTACGATTTTATGTTCACAAAAAAAAAATACAATAAATTAGAAAATATATACTATCACTATAGTTCACTATAGTTGTATTAGTATTAAAAAACAATTCAAAAATAATAGATAACTATTTATTAATTTACCTTAAATACAATATATTTATCAGTTTCTGACCTGGTATACCAATGTTATATAGCTGTTTATTATATGGGATGAGTCAATAAAAATCAAGCAAACTTTTTATAATAAAAATTTTTTATATCTTTAAACAAGAATAACTTAACAAAACTTTAACCAAATTTAAATAAAATTTTTTTTTGTTATTCTTGCTTAAAGTTTTAAAACTTAGGCCATACAAACTTATACTATTGGTTTTCATATCACCAAGTAACTTTTTGTGACCCAGCGACCTGGCTTTTAATTTTATTTTCAAAAAATTTTATATATAAAAAATATATAAAATTTTTTTACAAAAATTTAAAAAAGTTCACCTGGATAATAAATATAGTAAAACTTTTTTCAAACTTTTGTTGAATTTGACTCAGCTAGGTTATGAGAACCAATAGTATAAGTTTGTGTGGCTTTATTAAAAAATATTTTTTATATACTTATGAGAACACTATTATTATTTTATTGTTTTTAAAAAACTTTTGATAGTGAATAGTAAAAAATTTATACTGTGTACAAATTTATAATAGTGTTCTCATAAGAACTTTGAAAACACTAATTCGAACACTGTATGTGACTATTGATTGGGTACATGTTGATTAAATATTTTGATCAAATTGGTATTTGCAATTTGCATGAATAGCATAATTACAAATTAATTAAAAGTCTAAAATAGTAATTGTATAAACAATATAATAATAATTAGCAATTAATAATAATAGTAATTGTATAAACAATATAGTAATTATTAGAGATTGATAGCCAAATTAGAACATTTTGCTTAGTAAATAAAATTTTGTTCTTGTGATATCTTCTTAGTGAATAAACTGTTAACTGTGTAAATACATAATCGGTAATAGTATATGGTATGATAGCATAATTAGCCAAGTGAATGAAGATTATAATTAAAGACCCATAAATACATGGCAGTGCTAAGAAACTTTGTTATATAAAGGACCTGAGTAGAAAGCAATACTCTTGTTGAAGCTACATGGTTTAAATTATTTGAGTGATAAACCAAAAAGATGGAAGGCAAAAATTGGTTGGTGCTATTAGTTAAAAATATAATAGGATTAGTTGTTGAATTGGTGAAGAGTCTGGAAAAACAAAAAACAAGAAATAAATGGTCATATCTCGGTTGTGTTATGTTTGTTGATATCAAGGACATTTAGCTTGCTTTTGCCGAAACCAAGCAAAGTATAAATATTAAAAGAAAGTTATGGAGGTACAGTTTATAAGAATCACTAATTTCAAAGTCAATAGTAATAAAAATAGAAGTTGAATTAAAAAGGGTTTAAATAGTGTAATTATTAGTAAGACACTTCAGGATAAAAAGATGCAAATAGAAAACAAAGCTATACCTGTGAAGTATATCGATAAAGGGTTGAATCAAATAAGCTGAATTATATTGGAGTTGATGCCAAAAAGATTGAACATATAGTGTTTATTTGTTATCAAAAGCCTGCAGAGATATAAAATGATGAAAATATGTATAAGCCTGGTAGTTGCTATTGTAAGGAAATTGGTGTTGAAATATTTGAGTATAAAGCATTCAATTATTATTAGCAATTTGCTAATACAAGTTATATTGGAAAAATAAACAGTGGTGATAATATATGTGGTATTAGTTGCTGTTATGCAAATGGAATTGAAAATAAAATAGAAAAACATAAGACAGTTGGGTATTACCAAAAGTTTGCAGATAATGACAACTTGAAAGAGTTAACTGAACTTGGGTAGTGTTCTCAAAATAAAGTAAATCCCAGTGAGGATAACAAAAAGTTATTTAAGCAAGACTTGGAGTCTGATGAAAGAATGGATATGGCTGATGAAATTAAATTCAATTCTAGCAGATGTGCTATTGAATTTAAAAGAGATGACATAATGAAATATAGAAAAACAATAAGTAAATATAGTGGTAATGAATTGTTATATTAAATATAGCTGTAGTATAAAAGGTGTGGGATAGAATGCTATAAATATTAGAAATAAATAGTTGAAAGATCACACTAATAGAGTCAAGAATCGGGTAACAAACCAAGGACAGATGAAACTGAATGATGTCAGATTCTATAAATGACTCTACCTAGACCACATAATTAGTTGCAATAGATTGGAACATGCAATATTTGGGAGTTGTTTTGATATGAAAAAGCTTGGGTGAATGGATTTAAGGTTGTTGTAAGATGTAAATATGAAAAGGCAATACAAATATTAAAAAAAATTTTTTAGTGTTTGTATATACTGTATATGTGTTTGAACAATGCATTGGTATTAGTTTAATAATTCAGATAGTATGAAATTGGATTATGGTGCTAGTGAATTGTTGTTGTAACTTCAAAACAAAGTACTTGGATTAAGCTTATATGTCATAGTGTTTGTTAATACTCATGTACTTGTGGCACCAGGGTTAGATAGTGGTACCCATGTAACTATTGATTGAGTACATGTTGATCGAATATTGTGATTGGATCAGGATTTGTGATTTGCATAAATAGCATAATTATGAATTAATTAAAAGTTTAAAATAGTAATTGCATGAACAATGTAATTATAATTCTTTACAAAAACCTATATTTTTACTAAATATATTTAAAATAGTATATAATAAATATACTTTGATTACATATTAATTATATAATAATTTAAAGGTGTAGTGACTTAGTAAAGTAGTAGAGTTGTTGCACCTCAAGCTAGCTTGACTATGGTACCAAGTTTGAATCCCTTTAGTAATGTTTTAAATAAAATATCTGTATTATAGTAAATAGATCTTCATTAAGTTAGGGTTTAGTTAAAACTATAACTTGTTATAGTAACTTGTAATCTTGGGTTATACCAATGCACTAGGGCACTCTGTGTTCTA